AAATGATAAAATAGCCATTTTATCACCTAAAATACAGCAACACCATTTGTTTAGTGAATGCTTCATTATTTGGAGCAAAGGATGGATCTGCAGCTAACAAAAACCTTTTACAATCAACAAGAGAAAAGTTCAACCATTTCTGCTCGACTCCACACCAAAATAGAGCTGATCTGTTGATTAATTTTTAGATTTACCTATTTATAACTGGATAGGACGAGGTGCTTAACAGGAGAATACTTATATTTTCACAGAATTTGAATCAGGTGAATCTAAAATTAAGCCATTTGAGGAGTTCTGGGCAAAACATGTATACAGAAAAAAACTTTTCTTTTTACTTATATATATATATATATATATATATATATATATATATATATATATATATATATATATATTTTACTCACAAAAAAAGGTTGGTCTTTTAGCAAATGGCCTTTTTTTTGCTTTTTTGTGTCTGTATGCTCCACTTTGATTGATTACTAAATTAATTGATTATTCCAATCACAATTTATCCAGTTAATCGCTTCAGTCCTTTTTTATATAACAGTGGTGTTAAATTCATTTTCATTTCAGGCCACATAAAGATCAAGCTGCTAAAATTTCTCTGCGCTCAGTTAGTACTTCTTAAAATTCTAACAATTTTTTATTTTATTTTATTTTTTTATGTATTTATGTATGTTGCGGTGTTCTTTCTGGAAATTGACTCTTTTTGAGTCTGTAGATTTCAGTTAGCCAATCAATACTAAATTAATTGACAATTATTAAAATAATCCATTCATCACAATTAATTTCTGTTTCAGCCTCAAACAGAAATAGCTTACTCTCTCTCTTTTTTTTATTTTTTTTTTAGGCGACTCCTCTTGTGTCAAATATTATGTTTTTCTCCATTTCAGGGCTCTGGATACTGGCCGTGGGATGAATTTGGCCCCACTGACCTCCGTTCGTACCCCAGACCGATCGGGAATCTCTTCAATGGGGTACCCAGCAACACGGACGCTGCCGTGACGTGGACAGACGGCTACGTGTACATGTTCAAAGGCAGCCAGCACTGGCGTGTGAACCAGAAGAATCAAGTAGTGGAGAAGAAGTATCCTCAGGACACGGCATCTAACTGGATGCAATGCGACGACTGAGCCACTAGAGGCCGCCAGGCGTTCAACACAGGCACAATGTTTCATGTTAGCAGCAGAGAGGAAGGATTTTCTCGGAGATTCAAGAAATAAACTGTTACTATAAACAGTTCACAGACAAATAGAGGACACTGTATTACTGCAATAAAAGTTAGAATAACACATGACAGATATTTATGGTCATATTTTTTAAATATTTTTTCTCATTTATTTAGTCTGAATTGTAGTCAGTGAATGTTACCCTGAAACAGCATCTCCCTAGTGTATTTTACTGTATTCTTGTTTTTATATTTATTCTGTGATTTATGTAGATTGTATGAAATAGGTTGTGTTAGCAAATAAAATATTACCTGCCTTGTAAAATTGATTAAAATAAACTGAAAATATACTGTTGAAATGTTCATAAACTGTATGAAGAGACATTATTTTCCTCGACTGTCGGAGATCAGAAAAGTCTTAACATTTCCTGTTTTAGGTCATTTAGGATGATTAAAATTACATCTATTTGCTAAATACCAGATTAAGAGAGCAGCAGAGTTTTTAAAATTGTTTTCTTTAAGGTCAGATATTAGATAGAAAGCCCAAATGATGATGTCACAGCTTTGGAAGGTTCTGATAGGTTAATTTGAAATGTCTGAGTTAAATGAAGGCTCATTTGAGGAGGTGAACACCTCAAACACGTCGCCTCCTCGTGTATCATAGGAAAATCTAAAGAAACCAGCCAAGAAGAAGTTTGTCTCATCTGTGAGGAATAATTTATACATGTAAGTAAAAACAGTAGATGAATTGATTGTCATCATCAACATTAAAGAAAGTCCTGTACCAACATGAGCTGAAAGGCAACTCGGCAAACAAGAAGCCATATGGACTCAGAATTTTATCACAATATTGGGATAACAATAAAATTATGATTAAAAAATGTTTTTTATTCCTTATTTTTTAAGTTTCTGTAGGCAGTGACTACATAGCACAGCATTCATAGTGCCACAAACACAAATATTGTTCTTGAAAAACATTCCCATTTGAAATGGGCTTCTTCAGTTACTTAATTTATCTCCTTTAGCTGCACACAGTATCTGCATTTAATCATACTTTTGAATTTACTTATATCTACTCATGCTCTCTTGGAACAGTGGAAAAAATAGAAAATATGTATTTATATATATTTTTAATTTACCACCAATAACTGAAATTCATCATGCCAACAATAAATCAAAATTCTCATCATGATAAGAAATATTTCACATCCATCCATCCATCCATTTTCTGAACACCCTTGTCCCTCAGTGGGGTCGGGAGGGGTGCTGGTGCCTATCTCCAGCTAACGTTCCGGGCGAGAGGCGGGGTACATCCTGGACAGGTTGCCAGTCTGTCGCAGAAATATTTCACAATAAATGATAAATAACCTGTTAAATGCTTTTGTCATTGCTACTATCTGGTGGATAACCGATGAAATTTTCAACTGTGAAGCACGGCGTGGCAGCATCATGATGAGGAATTGGTCAGAAGTTAAAACTTGTGCTTAAATGGGTTTTCAAAAAGCACAAAGTCTCCAAGAAAACAAATAGATTAATTACAAAGTAGCACAAGGACATCAAAGTGAATATTTTGGAGCAGCATCACAAAAACCTGATTTTCAGTCCCTGGGAAAATTTGTTAGAGCTAGCAAAGCTATTCATACAGTTTAAAATACAAGTTAACTAATCATTAAAGAAATGTAAATAACCTTCGGAATGTGAAGCAAACAGCTACTTAAAAAAAAATTATATTTCATTATTTTTGAAACAGAATAAGAAGGATTCAAGCATCTGCTTTTAACTTTAGATTACTGAGCTGTCTGCCTCACTCTCACCTGTGTCAGTGGGTCAGAGGTAAGGTGAATCCACCTGCGTGGCAGATGATGCAGAACCTTTACAGGATTTGGATTAGTTGTTAGAAAGTTTACCTCTCAAGCAAACAATCCGTGGATGGATTACTAATGAAGGCGGATTGGATCAGTGGAGAGATCCTTCACCTCACCTGATGACGTTAGGAGAATTTAAAAGTGCATTTAAGAAAATGACTTGGCAATTTATTCAGTTTACACTAAAGAGACACAATTTTTTTTCTTAATTCTGTCACTATGACAAATACTGCAGTTTGTACAAATACAAATCGCTCAGTTTTTCTTGTTGAGAAAACAGCAACTGGACCTAAAACAAGTCTCTCTCTTTCCTGGATTGATGGATGGCCTTTTATATCTAGTGTGCATTCATATAAAATAAAATACCAGTGTAATTTTTAAAAATTATTTTAATAAACTTAAAATAAGATACAAAAAAAGCTCTGATGCTTTGGTCCAACTCAACATTGTAATAGTTTATGGTCCACAGTTAAACAATTTTATTCACATTTACTTTGAGCAAACTACCTTTTAACGTTTTCACATTAAAATAAATTAAATCAATGCCATGCATATGCCTGTAAACTGAATAGAATCACACTACAGTCCATCAATATCATGATCGACGTATCCCTTTATTTTACATATGCAGTATTTACTTTGCATATTTTGTCCCAACAGGATCTAACCCTGTCAGCACAGGCATAACTTGGTTAAAAATTTATATTTTGTTCTCTCAGTACAACTACACCCTTCAACTTGCTACTGCTAACGATGTTTTCCTGCTCAGCAGTTTCCAAAGTGCTAAGCTAATGTTAGCATGTTTACTCTCTATTGTGATATGACTTGTTGATAACTCAGTGTGTTTCCAGCCAGTGGAAAGCCAACACTACAGAAGTTTCTGCTTCAAAACCGTAGCTTCTAGTTGTGTGCAGGGAAGCTGCAGCAGCCAATTTCTTCTTTTTTTTCTGTGTTAGGAAAATACCCAACAAAATAATATGCAGAGCCTATAAAACAGTATAAAAACTGACACAGTTTGCAGGTCATGCACATAAAAATTGGCTGCCATGTTTAAAAAATCTGAAGCACAAACCGTGACCGCAAAGCTTGTTGGCTAACATCACGGATACAGCTGACATGAAATCACAGCCAGTACAAGAGCAGCAGCTGTTGGGAGTTGAGTTTGGCCAATATTGTTCTAATATGCCTTGATCAGGTCATCCATATCACTGCTCAAGTAAGAATGGTTTGAATCTGGATGCATCAAGTGGCATGGATTGTTCCAAACATGAAGAAAAAATTTTAACCGAGACCTATTATGCAAAATTCGCATTTTGCATGTTTTTTTTTTTAACTTCCATTTGGGCCTGAGCGATTAAAAAATGTTTTTTGGTAATAAGTTAATACATTTATGTTTTTAGGTATCTGGAAAATGAGCAATTTAAAAAGAAACCTCCTAAACCTAAACACATGCCACAATCAATGGGCACTGTGCCGTTACCAAGCTGAGCTCCAGCATGTTTGGTCAGCTGCCTTTACTGCTGTACAATGGCTGCAGGAAAAATCAAGTGTTTTTTTGTTGGCTTAACATCCAGAAAACAGTTGCTGCATTCTTATTAATTGTGCAGCAGGTTCTACTAATGCTTTTCAAAGAAGGAACTCAAATAGGTAGAACCCACTTGACTAAAATCTCAAAATCTAAGAATAATTTTGTGCAATAAAAAAAAAAAAAGGAACGAACACATTTTTTATAATCCGTAGGCCAATCCTAACCTGGTTGGAAGCAGGTTCACCTTTAAAAACGAAAAGTTTTTTTTTATATTTACATTTAACAGCACACTTTTTTAAGGTGAAAACAAATATTGTGAGAATAAAACTTCTCAACAAATGTTGGAATTCCAAGGCTGAGGAATAATAAATGTAATTTAACAATCAGGAAATATGATAATTGTCTAATAAAGCTTGTGAAGAAAATCCAAACCAGAAACTGAAATATTTGAACAAATTTAGTGAAAGCAAACAGTTCAAAGTTACTTTCCCAGAGATTTGCTCTTTCGGATAGCTGTGTTCGTTCAGACTGTGAAGATGGGGGAGGCGGAGGTCAGAGGCACCATGGAGCCCGTCTCGAAGTTGAAGTCGATCAGAGTGTGAGTGATGGTGCTGACGCTGCTGGAGGAGGAACCGGTACCCAGCTGACGCTCTTGGAGTTTGTGGAGATAACTCTGCAAGGCAGGCAGCAGAGAGGAGCGCATTGTTACACGAACCAGCTACTGACAAAAACTCAACAACAATCTGGTTTTCTCTCATGAAATCAGGATATTTTGCATTTTATGTTTTTATTTGAGCCACTTACTGGTGCGAGGACGTCTCCAGCGTATCGCTTCAGAGGCGGAGGCCTGCGCTGACGATATGGCCGGGGTCTTCTCCTTCCTTCTCTACATTTCTGCTTCGTTTCATTTTTCTTCTGTTTTTTATTGGCACCTGGAAAAGAGAATTAAAATAAATCATTTATTTACTCATGCCGTTTGAACTTTTTCACATTTTATGTCCCAAACAAAAACTTTATGTGAGAAATCAACACGAGCTGTATAATTTTAAAAAATCCTTAATGGAAGCAATTATTTTAAAAAAAGATCACATTATTCAGTAAAATGTTTTTTGAGAAGGTTTTTCTGCCGTAACAAAGTAAATGTAATCAATGGCCGGATATTACTACTGGCAAAAACGACAAAGAAGACGACAACAGGATGAAGCAGGAGGATGGTGGTTTGTTTTTAGGGAAAATATTTAATAAGTAATAAAATTAGAGGGGTCAGTTATCACTGCTATTGTCTTGGAAGAGTAAATTTCTAGATTCAAAAGCCAAGAGCTTCTTACATGCAACATAGTGGATGTTATTAATGGGACTAAAAACCAGTTTAGAGTTACTGCTTAGCCATAATAAATGGAACATTGACCAACATATTAGATGTGTTGATTTTCCTGATGGCACTTGACAAAATGTATTAATATCTGTTAGTGGTTTTAAAAATGTTTTTAAGACGTGAAGCACTTTGAAATGCCGTGTTGATGACATGTACTTTGCAAATAAACCTGACTGATTGATTGATTGATAGGTTAAATGGCTTTTCTAAATTGTCCTTCTGCAAAAGGACAATTTAGAACCTGCAACTCGGACAAATAATATGCAGGTACAGACGACGGATGCATATTTTCCTCTCACTCTATAAGTTTGCACTACTTTGTATTGAGTTATCTAATAAAATCCCTTTAATACAAATTCACTGTAAAACATTTGAGCTGCATTTAGTTGGGTCTACTATCTTCTACCTAAATGTGTGAGTTTGTAAGTTGTGTTAACTTCCAAGAGTTGAATAAACTAGAGTTTTTAAGTTAGTACTTAAAAAAACTGAAAGAAGAAAAAGACAGGAGTGGGAGCCATTTCCCAGAATGCTAAGCTGCATGTTTTTGTATCATGAGAAGTGCGTTACATTCATCTGACTCTTGTGTTTTATTAAGGCAAATGCTTATTTTAATGTCCTGTTCACACTAAATGTTCAATAAAATTCATTATGAGATCAGAAATTTTGTCCATGCAATTTGAAACAAGAATTTAAATTATTCAAAAGTAAAATAAGTAGTTATTTTAACTTGATATTATGAGTGGAAGTAATAGAGAAATGTGGCTCTTTAGCTAGGTGAGGGCAGATTTATTTTTTGCATGTTGTGTGAAATTATTTGGTTTAAATTTCAGCATTAAGTTACTACTCAATTCAAGATTTATTAACTAAAAAAACAATATTTGGACAACTTGTCTCTTGTTGTTAAATCAACTTCATGAACTTTAATTTCTGAGTTAAAACCATAACAAATTTCTTGTCGACTTAAACTGCATTTTCAAGTTAAACCACCTTCAAATATTTACAGTGTTTAAGTTTGTTGTAATTTAGAAACAAAATGTAGAAAAGTTTAAAAGAGCCACTTTTGGGACCGCAGACTGAACAAAACTCACCTTCAAAGTGTGAAACTCCTCTTGCAGTAAACCACCACTGCACCAACACGCCTACGGTGCTCAAAACAGGACAGATCCCAGTGATCGCCCAGTTAAACCAGCAGAAGGGTCGCGGAGCCGCTTCACAAAACACGTCATACACTTGATGCGGCAGCACAAACGCGCCCACCATGTAGTCCGCGCACAGCATCACGGTCGTAGCTCCAAACACAGACGTGTAGAAGATGCTGAACAGCCTCTGCCACTGCAGCGTGAACACAGCAGACGCGATGCTGGCGGCCAGTACGGCACAAAGAGGCACCCACACTGGAGCAAGGCTGTGAAACTGTCCCACAATCACCAGCATGGATAGGGACAGGAGGCTTCCAAGCTGCAGGCCACAGAGGAGGAGTCCCAGCGTGGACACCAGCGCGGTAAACAGTCCACACAGCACGCCGACTCCCAGCCCAATGCCCGCCTTGGCGTCCTCTCTCAGCTGACCCGTAAAGTCCGGTTCCTTATGGTAGAACAGGAGCATGGCAGATGAGGCAAACATGAAACCGGAGAAGAACATGACCATCTTGAAGCAGCGATACCCTGCGAAAAGAAATAATAGCAATCTTAGACTCTCCAAAGCTAGTTTCCCATTAGCCTCCCTGCCCTGTTCCACTCGATTCAAATCTCACTTCACAGACAGTCTGGGGTTTCTCCCGTTTACTTCGATTCCTCCGGTAGATTTTCTACCGGGCCAATCAGCAAACGGGAGAAGTCGTGAACAATGGCGTCAATTTTCTGCGCTGTAGAACTGTAGTCTCCCTGTAGTTTTAGCAAAGGCAGCAGAGGAAACGAATGAAGCCGTTCAGTCCGTGATGGCCACGAAATATTGAATCGTAATTAACATTGCAACCAATGAAGCGCAGTCAGATTAATAAATGACTCATAAGAAGTTTTCTTAATTTATTTGTAAAAAATATTGAAAAATTGCGTGTTTTTCATGTCACTTTACAGTTTAGCACAACTCTGTTACCATTGAAAAAAATTTATAAAAACATTAAAATTTATGGTTATAACCTGAAATCTCACAAAGGTTTGAATACTTTCACTTATGATCAATTTCCAGATCTCTCCATAGAGCAACTATTTTAGTTTTTTATGTTTATGATAAGAAGCACATTCATTTCTTTGCAGAGTTAAGTATTTTAGGGAAGTTGGGGCATTTATGGAAAGAAACTTTAAGGTTATTTCAGTAATGTTTGGACTAGCTGGTCTGATAAAATGTAAAATGTATTGCCATATGTTGCATATATGTAAACACAAATCATCTGGTGTATAAAACAAGCTGAATTGCCTCAGTTTAATGTTTAACGGGCCATTCTACCAGACTTTGGAGCGTGTATGTTTGCGTAATGTCAGGGTTCATGGTTGCCTGATTTATCATGACATTTTCTCCCAGTGAAAGCAGAACGGGAAATGTTTGCTTCACGTTGCAATGCATGCACATTAAACACAAAATCCCCGTTAAAAACCGAATGAACTTTAACACCATGACATCAGTGGGATTTCATTCAGTGCAACAGGTGGCGTCTCATGAACGCTGTGCGTATAAAATTTAGATTCCCATCTGCCTCCTCCAGCTTTGGACTTATCCACTCTAAACCCCTGGCAACCTGCAGACCTTTACCTCAGGGGATTTAAGCCATCAGGTGAGCTAATGAAACATTTAAAACAGCTTTGTGTAAGCTAATACTAGCATCTAATGTCAGCGCGGATACGCACCAAAAAAGCAGTAGATGAGGCCGAATGAAAGGCAGACGGAGCAGACGACAGACGGGATGACTTCGTATTGCACATTATTGTTAAGAACACAAATATCCAGTTCAGTGATTCCAGCTCCAGGCTCCTCTGTAATGTAGAGTGAAGACACTGCCATCATGGAGGATTACTGCTTTTGTGCTGCCCAGCTGCTTTGGACATGAATCTGCTTTGTTCATTGAAGGAGGGAAGCTGGAAGTCCAAGCCAAGAGGAAGTTCCTGGATCCAGAGCATGCATTAAACCGTTTCCAGATGTGCACCTGCAAAAAGAAAAGGACATGATTTCAGGGTTTGATAGAGACTGAAACAGAGACAAGTCCTGAAATTCCCCTTTTCCCATGGTAAAAAAACCCCCAATATGTTTAAATGATTTAAACATATTTAAATCATTTCACAACAGGTCCCCAGCCTGTTACCTAGTAACCCTAGTGGAGCTCCAGCATGTTTGGTCAACTAGTTTTACCGCTTTTTGCGCTGTACAATGGCTGCTGGAAAAGACAAGTGTTTTTTTTTTTTGTTGACTTATTATTTAGAAACCACTTACTGGGTTCTAGTTGGTCGTGCGGGAGGCTCTACTAATGCTTTTCAGAGATGTACGGTTGTATAATTCCACATCTTTTTGCAGGTATTTTCACATGCGAATGTAAACGGTGAGTTGGGGGGGCGTGGCCAGAAGCAGCTTATTTGGATTTAAAGTGACAGCAGCTCATTTTGAAAGGAGCTCAACATAGGCAGAGCTGACCAGATTAAAATCTGATGATCTAAGAATGATTTTGTGCAAAAAATGTAACAAACATGTTTTGTATAACCCCTTTAGACCTGTCCCAACCTGTTCAAGGAAGCATAAGAGGTCATTTTTAAACTGCTGATGAGGAAGTGCCTTTTCCCATGCCCAAATTTTCTATTCGGGAAGCAGAGAGGGAAACCTAGCATCCCTTCCAAGTTTTATGTTTTGTTTAAGAACAGGATGCAGCTGAGGAAATGACCTGCTGGCTCCATGCCTCTGTTTTTCACATGCATTGTTCTGAGCATGTGGTTTGGTCCTCAGTTTGCCAAACAATAAGAAGGAAACAAACATTTAGACACCAATAAAAGCAGCAGGATGGACATTTTCCCAAAATGAACAATAATGTCAATCAAAAAACATTTAGGAAATACTTGAAGAATCCTGGAGTAAAATTACACTCATATTCAGTTTGTAAGATTAAAATTATCTTCTGAAGATAACCTTCAAGCAGGTATTAAACATACCTTCATTAAGCCCTCATTTCTGCTTTTAAAAATAGATTTTTATTGGTCTGATGTAATATTCTAATTTAAAATGTGTTTTATTAGCGGTTAGCAGAAAATCATCATGATTAAGAGACATGAAGGTGTTAAAACATTCACCTTTGTCTAATTAATTGGTATAATTTGGAAGTAACAAAATGACTTTTCCAAAATATTAAAATTTATTTGAATAGTTTTGTAGTTCTACAGCATTTATTTGCTGATGTGTAACAAAATATAATTAAAGATTAACATTTATAAAGTGTCATCATTTCAAGCTTATTTATAAACTTTCTGAACATCTTAAGCATGTTCACCTGCAGCTGATTGTATGATTGCAGGATGCATTAGCCTCATAAGCTGTTGAGGCAAATCCTCAACAGCTTATGAGGCTGAAAGGTGAGTCTTTCTCAGGTTACTGTAAAGCACCAGAAGACTTTCAGACGTGGAAATTTCTCTGGTAAAACTAAAATATGAAAGAATAGCAACAAAAACACCTGATGTTCTATTAATTTTACTTTTAAAAAAAAACACTACTGCAGTGTCAGATAATCCACTGAATTACCACAAACGACATGAAAACGTGACAAATGATAAGATAAAATATGTGAAAACCTTTTCATGGCCTACCTGCAGCGGCTCACATCCTCGGGTTTTTAATGTGCGCTTTAAAGGAGAGACGTTAGCATCCTGGTCTGCTTGTCAAATTCCTGTAAACAGGGAGCGTTCAGGCAGGAGTTTGTCTGGAGTTTCTACACTGACTGTGTTGTTTCCCACTGAGCGCGTCCAACCGGTAAGTCCGTCATCTGTGCTTGTAAACAGCTGACGCCTGGGAGGGCGGCCATCTGCCCCCAGCGTTAGACCGACGCAGCTGCCAAGTCCAAGGCCAAGACAGGGAGTTCGACCCTCCCTGCCCATAATCCTCCAGGAACACTGACCTGCATGTCTGCCAGCTTTAAGTTACCGAGCATATCTTTTTAATAGGTTCAGCTTCGAACCTAGATGTGTCCTTGTACACCTGACAATTAAAGTAACGGTGCCCAAACTTTTCACCACAAGCAAAACAATAACATTTTATTAAGTAAAATATCTAAGTACACTTGAATGCAACAAAACTAACTTACAAGTGCTTGTAAATTACGTTACTTGTATTTTAAGCCAATATTAACTTAAAATAGGAGCTTGTTTTAAGTTAGTATTTCCTTAAAATTTATTTTTAAAAAGTACTGGTTCCACTGGTAGATTATTTCACTTCTAATAAGACTTTTTCCCCATGTTATAAGTGACATAATTTACCAGTGGAACCAGAACTTTTTAGTCAATATTAAGAAACTATTGACTTAAAACAAGATCCAATAACTTCCTGAAAATGTAAGTTAGTTTTGGTGCATTTCAAGTGTAAAAAGAAATGCTTCACACAAAATAAAGACAAGACTATGTGTTTTTGCAAGATGAAAGTAATTGAGGGCCACAAAACTGTATATATTCTTTTTTTGTGGTAAAGGGCTGCAGAAAATCACGTGAGTGGACGTAAATGCCACACTTTGGACACCCTTAAATTAAAGAATCTGGTTTAATCCTTTCAAAACTATAAAGGGAGAAATAAGAAAAACATTACAGGTGTTTCTTGCTGCACCAGATACACTTCCATCAAATCCAGTACAATTCAAACCAGGAAATGTAAAATTGTAAAAATGCCAGTTGGTTGTTTTCCAGTCTGGATTTTTGATCTGAACAAACCATAACGACATCTGGATGGACTTTTACGACACGTGTTCATCACAGCAGGAGTTGCACACCAAGCATATGTAGAGACATTAATGCAGTTTGCTCAAAGTGCCATTCACACTCAACACCATGTCCACCAGCTAACCTCAGTTAGATAAAAAGCTAAAATTAAAACTGTCACAGACTTGATTTTACAGCTGCTAAAAACAGACATTTTTGCGCTGCAGCTGCAAGCAGTAAAACAAGCTAAAGATATAATGTAGTTTAAAATACCACAGTGACAATTATAGCTGCTGCTGTTGGCACTCAGAGACAACCTTAGAAGTCCCAAAAAAAAGTGAGGAGTTTTGGATTTAAAAAAGATCCTTTGCCATAATTCAGAGAAGTGAGTTACATTTTTCATAGTGTGAAAGCAGCCTACAATAAAATATATTTATAAATTAGACATGGAAAAAACAATATAAAGCAACAATTAAAATATGCATTTGTGTAGAAAAGCGGTGAGTTTGAAGGCTACAAATGTTTTCGAAGCGGCTCTGAATATCTGAGCTTTTTAGATTTGTGTCTCTTTGTTGCCCCCTGCCGGTCACTTTACTCCTCCGTTCCTCATATAAAATTAATGCTAAATCCACCAAAATCCTGTATAAGCTGCCATTAAGTATATATTTTTATCTACTCATCTATCGTATCGACACGTAGCCCTTTCATGCATGAATTATGATCTTTTATGTCAGGATTTATTTTTCTTAAAGGCATAAAAAACTGGTGGGAAAACATATTTTTAGGATTTTTTTAAGGTGATCAGTTGTAATTTTCTCCAAATACAAAATTATTATTTGGAAAATACATCCGTAGTGTTACTTGATGTCACAATCATTTTTTTAACCTGCAAGAGTAAAAGGAGGGACTGGATATTCTTGAGTTGCTTTTCGATTTAACAAAACATTTCTTGCACTTGCAGTGGATGGCCAGTAGTTGGCAGTGTATTGTATGATGCACTAGTGTCCACTTCAGCGGTCTGTGTCCATGAGCAGCACAAGAAAATTGCTTTTAGATAGCTGTCCTCTGCAGTGACTGCGATGCATGGAAGGGTTAAATGGTTCTAATGGCCTAGTCAAAGCCCAGTCCTTAATCTAATTGAAAACCAGTAGCAAGTTATGTTCACAAACTAAACTTGAGTTATTTTGGAAAGAAAGGCCAAAAATATCATTCTGTAGAGCCGCGAAGCTCTGAGGAACAAAACTTTGAAAGTGTAACAAAGGGGTTTCTGACCCAGAAGGAGAAAAACATGAACTTCTGCATGTCTTTGTGTTCGTCTATCGCACAAAATCTCAGTAAGATGCATTAAAAATAACATATTATTGATGTGATCTAAGCCACTCCTGCCTCCTGTGGCTGTATATGAGCAGACCCAGAGCAGAGCATTTAAAGAAAAATCTGCAGATTTTTCTGAAAAAGAAAAGTGGACATTAATAATGACAGACGCTGATATACTGAATATTTAGATCAGATGAGCGGCACTAAGGTTGGCTCAGGTTTTGAGCTGCCTGCTTGAATTAGGCTCCACTTGTGAGAAACGTACCAAAGAAAGAACAAGCCTTTTATGCTTCCATCAATCAAATATGCTTTTCCATCTTCTGAATTTGCAGATGAAAGGAAAGCATGCTTTTAACATTTGAGTAGTTGAATAAAAACCAACAAAAGTGCTTTGTGGAAGAGAAGGTGGAGAGCTTGTTTCATTTCATCTTAGCCATGCAAAAGCTACTTTTGATTTGGCCGCATGCTCCTGCTGGTGGACAAGTCAAATTTGTAATTTTTCAGTCGAACAGCAACAAAATGAGCGTTTTTAACATGCTACATACTGCAATATAAATCTAAATAAATGATTGTTCTAGTTTGCTAAAAGCTCTGTTGCTTCCTGAAATATTAAAAGATAAAGTTAATCAATTCACAGAAAGTCACATGTGATTGCTGAGTGGGGACTATTGATCAGAACAGACTCTTTCTCATTTCTAAATGAAATGAACCGTCTGTCACCAGATTGTCTCCAACGCCTGTAGTAGTGAAGTCATATTGATTCTGTATCTCCTGAAAGTTAAAGTATTTTCTGTTAGATCCTTCAAAGTAAAATCTGTTTCATATTCAAAATAAAAACAACACACCAGTTTTGAACCAGTTAGTTATGTTCCATAAAATCAGCAGAAACACACATAATTTGTGTGCAAACAGGGAGATTAACCTTAAAAACCCATCCAAGATTATCAATGAGAACTGGGCGTAAGAACTGACATAATGTCTGTTTTTATACATCAGAGGTTTACTGAGTTCAAAGTACAAAACTGCTGCAGCCACTAATCCATACAGAAATGTTTGCTGTTAGTGTGAAGGAACACCAGGCGTCTACTCAGATTGGTTTCCTGTAGTTATATATTTGCAGTGGATCTTTAAAGTCCATTCAACCCTATAAAACCTGGAGGTTTTGTGATGTAAAAATGTACCCGATGTGATTCAGCTGTAAAACCAGCAACTCTCCCACATGGACTCTCATCACATTAACTTCAAATATTTGCAGCCTTCAGGGAAAAGCAGAATGTTCCTGCAAAGTACCGGCTGTGACAAAACCCTCAGAATCTCATATGTTCACAATATCTCTGGATTATGCAGAAGGGTGTCGAGAAAAAGCACTGTATTTTTTGGACTATAAGCCACTATTTTTTTCCCACACTTTGAATTATGCAGTTTATATCCCGGTGTGGCTTTTCTGTGGATTTTTCTTCAACCACCAGGGGGCTCTTTAGCAGGAAGTGAATCATTGGAAGTCAAAATTGGAAATCAAAGAAGAAAGTGCTGATTTTCATTTAGAAAAAGCACATGCTAGCAGCAGGCACGACTGAGAAATGTTTTCAAGCCCCCTCATCATGGAAGCCACAGGAAGAAGTTCAAATGATGCAGCTTTTAAGTTGAGGAGTGTGATCTGAAAGTACAGGAGGGACATGGAGCCGCTGCAAATAAAACTCGGAGTGAATGAGTCCGTGGTTCGGCGTTGGAGACGGAGGGCTGCGTCCTTATCCCTCCGCTGCGTCATTGTGAAAAACCGAGAGCGGCGGAGATATCAGCAGCTTATACCCCGGTGCGGCTTATATATGTACGTTTCCAGTTTTTTTTTTTTTTTTTTTTTTTTTTTATTTTAAAAAAAAAAATTTTTTAGAGGGGGCTTTTTTTGTGGGGGGT